CACCTTCAACTTACACCTAGATATGAAGTATTTTATATGAAATACGTGCTACGTGTAATTATATTAATTGTTTAATTGAGGTGACTGTTGAATTGATATTTTATACAAGTTTTAAACTGTATATGTATTTTTATCTACAAATATGTTGGGTAAAACATGGGTAGATAGTGATGTGTGATAAAATAAAAGTGATGAGAGGCATCGATGTGTTTTGAGATCCAGTCATCTAGCGGAGTTTGGATGACGACCACGGACTTTCTAGACAGTCCAATGGGAAACATTAGCAGGTCCGCAACCTCTAGGTGTTAATGAACTGAGAGTGTTCATTCGCTGTACTCCATCCCCATCATGGCTGCCTTTAGGACATGTATGGCTTAGGAAACCCCTTAGCAGTAGTGTCCACCCCGATTATATTCTCTAGGCTAGGTCCCTTGTGATAAGTGTTTAGGGACGTAAAGTGAGGATAACGAGAACGGGTAATCAGGGTTATTGTTGATTGATGAACTTAGTAAGTTTATTATTATTATGGGTTGAAGACCCTATATGCTTACCAGACTCCCAAGCCTGACCCACTCAGCTTTTTATGTTACAGGTAGTGGACCCCGAGCATAGTCGGAGGACGACGAGAGATTTTTGGATTATAGGCCAGTAGTTGTAAATAACTGTTGAAAGGTTTATAGTGTCTTGTTTATGCTTTTGATCTGTATCGGAACAAGACATCCCGAGGTTTTGATATATATATATATATATATATATATATATATATATATATATATATATGGAAAATATATACCTTCTTAATGAAGGGTTTTGATAAAATTTTATCATATGTTGTTTGGGGACCAATTCCACAACATCTTTTAAAAAGATTTCTCTGATTTTATTTTAAAAAGCATAAATTAAATCGGTCTTTTCTGGCCGAGAAATTAGGGGATGTCACAGTTGCTATGTTACTGATATGCTATGTGATATGTTAGACTGTTTCTCTGGTTAAGGATTGTTATGCGATTAATTGTTTATTGTGCATATGGTTGTTAGACGGGGGGTTGGGTTGATGCGGGTCCTGCTTTGTGCTGTAGACCAACATACCCAGGGCGGACTGGATATTACGAGGCCCAGCGAACGGTCCGGATAGGCTGAAGGCCACAAGAGGGCGGACTAGACATGCCGAGGTTTGGAGAGTGGACCAGGCCGACTGAAGGCTCGGTGTGGGCGGATCAGTCATATTGTAGACTCAGAGAGTGGACCAGGTGGATTGAAGGCCTAGTGCAGGCGGACCAATCACACTGTAGACCGAATGTGCATGGCTGTTCTATTTGTGATATGTTATGAGTATGTTTGTGTGTGGTTGGTATTTTGGGGGTAACTCACTAAGCTTTCGGGCTTACAGTTCAGTGTTTTGTTTCAGGTACTTCAGGAGAACGTAGCAAGACGAAGGCGTGATCGTACCGCTCCTCATGTTTTATGATTCATGTGATATGGTTCTGGGGGATACTCTGATGTTTAAACTATTTTGAAAATAAGATGTATGAACTTAATGGTTTTTGAATGAAATAAAATGTTTTAAATTTGCTCAAATTTTTGGTTGTTACAAATTCATTAAGGGCATGATCGTAATCATACCAATTTCATTTAATGTTTAACCTTTGTGTTATTAGAAACATTAATAAAAGGTTTTAAAAATTAACATAACAAATCAAGTTTCAGATTGTCTTAAAAATAATTTCCGATTTTTTTTAAATGGATATTTTTAATTTTTTTTAAGAAAACATTATTTTTTTTAAAAAATGAAAAAAATATTAAAAAAATTGGATTAAAAAAAATTGCATTTTTTTAAAAAAAGTCCATTTTTTTAAAAAAAAATACCGCATTTTTTTTTTTCAAAAAAACTTGAAATTTTTCAAAAAAAAAAAACTGTATCTTTTAGAAAAAAAAGGCAATTAAAAAAAAACTGTATTTCTTTTTAAAAAACAACTTTTTTCTTTTAAAAAATCTGCAAACTTTTCAAAAAAAAAAGTTGCACTTTTTTTAAAATAACTATAATTTAAAAATAAAATGCATTTTTTAAAAACTATATTTTTTTCAAAAAAAAAAAATAATAATAATAAACTGTAATTTTTTTCAAAAAATGCTACTTAAAAAAAACTGCATTTATAGATGCATATATGCATATTTTTTCAAATGCATATATGCATATTTTTTATACTATAATAGATTAATAGTCGTAAGTAAATCATATAAAATCTTATTTTTATTAATCAATATATAAACATAATAGTACAAGTATTTTATTCGATACAAAAAATTAAAAATAAAATAAACAATGCTACAAAGATTCACATTGTTATCATTTCTTCATACCAAGATTTTCATATTTTCTTTAATTTATCACTTTTTACATCTTTAAAATTTTCTACAAATTCTTCCAAATCTACAAGAAAAAAATGATTAATACATGTGTACATATAGACGTAATTCATATGTAATTCAATTCTGACTTACATATGAATTACATGTGATTCATATGTAAATTACATGTGATTTATATGTGAATCACATGTGATTTGTATGTGAATCACATGTAATTCATATGTGATTACTTGTAAATTACATGTGATTCGTATGTAAGTTACATGTGTTATATATGTGAATCACATGTGATTTATATGTGAATCACATGTGATTTATATGTAAATCACATGTAATTCCTATGTGATTCACTTGTAAATTACAAGTGATTCATATGTGATTCGCTTGTGAATTGCATGTGATGCATATGTGAATTAGATGTTATTTATATGTGAATCACATGTGATTCATATGTGAATCACATGTAATTCATATGTGATTTATTTGTAAATTACATGTGATTTATATGTGAATCACATGTGATTTAGATGTGAATAACATATAAGTTCATTAAATAAAAAAGCAACATCACCTTAACAACTTAGTGAATCACAAATCTTGCTCAGTTAGTGAATCACAAATCCTACTCGGTTGGAGGCTTTGAGAGAGACTATTTACTAACCTTTCTTTATCTGTGTTTATTTCCATTTGTTCAACAGAATGTGAATGTGGCTTTAAATTCACTCTTGGTCTCTCAAGTCCCTGATTTCCATCTTCTGTGGGATTTGCGATTCCATAACTCTCATTTCCACTATCCACAATATCCATTGGAACCAGAAACCAGAAGTAAGAAAGTAGAAACAAGAAAGCAAAAATAAAAAATGAGAAGTAGCAACTAGAAATCAATTATTAAGTAGCAACAAGAAATAACAATAGAAAGTATTGATGTTAGCCATTCATGGGTTGTGTATATTTCAATAGAATTGAGTGTAACAACTGCTGACAATAACAGTTCTGCAAACAGAAAAAGGAAATCATATATATGGGTGTATTGATCATTTGATTGGTTCTTAACAGTTTGAACAAATATTTCATTTTGTTATGCAATTTATGATTTAAATCAGAAGCTTAATTTCATATATACAAATGGTCAATAAGCAGTAAAATATTCACCAGCTCATTCAGATAGAGAATCATAAACAACTAAAGATAATTTATTCATGAGTAATTTTCAATCTGATAATCAGTTCGCCAAGTACAGTAATTATCGAGAAGAATTGACCTGGAAAACAGAAAAGAAAAATAATCGAAACCCTAGAATTCTAATGACTCGCCATTGACGTGATGGAACAAATCAATCAGTCATCGATAATCTAAATTTTTTTGGAAGAATAGTTTAACATATCAATTGCTTCGTCTAAAAGAAGATATCGTTTCGTACAGTTCAAATTAGGAAAAATTAGTATCAATAAAATTTATGCAGATTCACATCTTAGTGTGTCCGTTATTTAGGTTTGTTATCGATTTTCAAACGATCACAAGAATCAAAACAATTTCTCTCGATTTTGATTTATTAATAATAAATTTCAGCGCATTGGCTTCGCTTTGGCCCTAGATTACGATTATCAATTGATATGTTCTACTTTCTTATGTAGTAGATCAATCGAAACAACGAATCAAACATGCAGACTAAAATCGGTGATAAAGAATAATGAAAAATTAGAAAAGACGAACCTTTGGTTGATCAGTAAGGAACAACTTTTCTGACCATGATCAAGATGATTGATTCAAAGAGAGATGAAATCGTCGACTCTTCGGGAAAAAAGAGCGAAAACTTAATAATCGACTATGGATGTTGACGATTGAGGAAATTGCGATGGTTGTGCAGGTGTACGATTTTATGTATGAACAGAACTAAGATTAATGTGGTGGAGATGATGGTGATTTAATGGGAAATCAGCGGACTCGATGATTGAAACCGATGGTGATTGAGGTCGATCTAGGGAAGAGGGGTGATTCGATGAAGAAGACGATGAGAGAGAGAGAGAGAGAGAGAATTAAAAGAATTATTTTATTCTTAAAATGCCCCCTGATTCATTTTAAAATCATACCTCCCGTGTCTTATTTTGTCTATTTATTTACAAAAATGTTACAATGCATCTTGGTCATTCTTTTTTTTATCCAATGCTCCACTTTTAGTTCTTGGGTTCTTAGGAAACTATGAGTTCTTAAATGATTTTCATATATATATATATATATATATATATATATATATATATATATATATATATATATATATATATATATATATATATATATATATATATATATATATATATATATATATATATATATATGAGAGAGAGAGAGACTTTGGATCTCTTATGAACCTTCATGCACAACTTCCTTTCTTTAGAAACTGGAATGATACATTTTTCCATAAAATGTTGAATGTTGCCCATTACCCAATGCTTTAAATTTTCTATGAGTAATACGTAGCACTTTCCATCAAAGAGCCTACGAATTTACGTCTCTAATCATCTGCACCTGCGACGAACCTTTCAACATAATATTAAAAATAAGCTTTGAGACGTCCACAAAAGAATTATAACTAACCTGGTCACAAAAGAAAATTCAAATTAATTGTTTAACTTCTCCAAGTTAACAACTCGAGTCTTAAATCTTCCTTCTTTATATACAATTACACGAGCAACACAGCCCTTTTCATAACCACAAACTAAAACCAGTTCAGTACAAATATACGTTTTAATATGTATATCACACGATTTCTTTCTCAATACAAGAGCAATCCTGAAGCTCTTTATCTGCCTCCTGAGGGTCCAAACTCGGGTTACTTGGTAATCCAAGACGAAGAGTCTGAAACTTACTCGTTCTTCGGTCTGTACAAGAATAAGTATCTTTTAAGTCTGCCATTTCCTCAGAACAAAGCACTAACCACACGCTATTCATCGGGGACTGGTAAAAGAAAACGTGTTTTTCACAATGAAGTTCTTTTTATTCCTGTTCTTGATCAGCCGTTATCTTCAAACCTTTACTACGCGATAAAACCACATGGATCTCATAAAGGGTATGCATGTACGCAATTCATTTTGTAGTTTTCTCAAATACGATTCCATAACTGATATTTTTCCTTCTTCATATATGAATTCTATGTCATGATACAAACATGCCTTGTTCTTCATCTTCAGTCTTATAGGTAATTTACTAATTTTTCCCAAATGAAGCCCTCTAATATTTCCATTAGGATTATAGGCTAGATAAGCTTGACGCCACAATTTGACTAACGTGAAACTATCAAGTATATAGGGTAGAATTAGGCCATGCTTGATTCGATGATGATCGCCATGTCTTTAACATTTTATGATGCAAGCGGTTTAGAACTTTTATTTAATTTAATGTTTAGCTGTTAGCTTTTAAGTAAGACAATTACAAATCTTTTCGAAAAAGGACATAAAAATCATGCCTAATCATTGTATGATTGCAAGTTTGACATTTTGCACTCGTTCTCAGATCTAGCTCACTAAACAAAACTGTTTCTTGAAAAACCTTTACATCTTTTAACAGAAATATCGAGAGAAACATTTTTATACCATGGATTTGATTTCCTGGATATTGTAGGAGGTTATATAATTTCTCAATTTAAATATACGTGCACTATCATGATCAAAACTATGATGTATTTTGATAACATATTAACACATGTCATGTATATGTATATGATTGAATATTTTTGTCTCTTAATGTCTTGATGTAATATAGCTCAAATTGGCTCCTGGCCCTCTCTATAATTAAAAATTTGTCACATTTAAATTGATATATATATATATATATATATATATATATATATATATATATATATATATATATATATATATATATATATATATTTTCCATTTTTATCTAAATAACTTTGAGTATCACAATATGTGTGACTATATAACCTACCATTGATCTCAAATAAACTAAGAAAAAGGTTTTACAGGGAAGCGTTTGCATGTTCGAAGGAGGAAGACATGATGTCATGTTGTCTATGTAATTGTGTCATTGATGTAAACCCAAGGCCATTGGACCCATATGACGTGTATCAACAATTTGAGATCATTCCTTACGAAACATTTTTTAAAGGTGATGGTAGCTTTTATGCCAAATCTATTGCGGAAGATGGTTACCCTCCAAATTTCTTAAGGAGAAAAGGTTGGGAAATATACACCAAAACACCTACAAACTATGAGTTACATGAAGCAAAAGGAATCGATGATGCTCTTCGTTCACGCCTCCCTGAATTTAGTTTCCCACACTCGACCAAAACTTCTAACTCGGTGGTTGTTGGCAAGTGGTATTGCCCTTTCATGTTCATCAAAGAAGGCAGATTGACTGATCAAGTGAAAACATCTATTTTTTATGAAATGGCACTTGAACAAAAATGGGAGCGAGTTTTTGAACAAAAACACGATCATAATAATAAGGGAAATGTTGTGCATGTGAAAGTTGCATTTCCTAGTGAAGTGGTTTTCATAGGTGAAGGTTGGAGGGAGGCTGTATGGGATGAGGGAAACATGGTAAATGGAGTCCTACAATTTATAAGTCGTGGGGATAATAATGGGAATGAAGAAATTGTAGGGTTGAATAGAGAAGTTTTTGAAAGAATGAGGTGGGAAGAAGAAAGATTTGGATGGGGTGGAGGTAGGGAGACAAGGATAGAGAGTATTAATAGGAAGGAGAAGTTTGAAGAAATCGGTGGGTGGAAGAGATTTGGTTGTTATGTATTGGTTGAGAGATTTGTGCTCAAAAGAATGGATGGAAGTTTAGTTTTGGCATATGATTTCTATCATGCACGTCACATTAGGACTATATTTGATTAGGATTTATACTTTTTATATTACAGTAAGATAATGCAATAATATTGTGCTTTTTGTAATAGCTTATGTTATCTGTCTAATGAGATTAGAGTTTAATTAGTGTTCCATTACTTGTATTATGCAACGAAATGAATACACATGTAGATTACTGTTGTGTAGTCAATATGAAAACCAATAAGTCTAACACCATTACTTCATTTAACTATAATTTAAAAACAATTTTATTTTATGTAGTTATTTTTTTAAACAAGTGTCTATTTTTTCATTAACTAGTTTTGCTTCTACAAAAACGATTAGATTTCTTTTTAGTACATGATATGAATTGTAGATCAAAGAAGATATTTTTAACTTTGGCGCGTTGACTTAAGCTATCCTCTCTATCTTCCTTTTTTTTTTTATTTAATTTTTCTATCATTTTCGCATTATCTTTATTTTAAAACTCTATTTTAATAAATGAATAATTTTAATTTTATTTTATCAAGTGCGAATCTAATACACATTCTTATTAATATTATGTAATGTGTCAACTAGATATATTAGACAACTCATTTCAAAATTCAAATTTATATTTTCTAATTATATGTTAAATTTGAAGATATAATAGCTTTAAAATTTTATATATCTCTTAATTGATAATTTATTTAAAATAATTAATTAATAATTATAAAGTTTTATTATGAAAGTTTAATTAATTTTATAACCGTGGTTACCACAGATTATAAACTAGTAAAAAATAAAACTAGGAAGGTAATCTAGAAAAATACTAGATAGAGATTAAAAATCCAATTTGTTATATTCTTTCACTCATTGCATTATAAAATACAAAAGAGAAAAAATAATTTTAAAACTATGGACATAATTTGTGTGATGATAATAATACACCATTTTGTAGTTTAATCTTCTTGATTCGGTATAACAAACATACGAGCCTTACTCAAAGGGGGTATTTGGCTTAGCTTTTTAAGGGTTAAAAGTTCTTTTTGGAAAAGTTGCAAAAAGTCAGGTTTTCCTGATTTTTCCAAAAAGTTGATTTCCTTCTTTCAAAAATCCAAAAGTAGGTTTTAAAATTGTTTTGCCAAACATCTTTTGGCTTCTATCTTTTTCTAAAAGATCTTTTGGTTTCTCAAAAGCTAAGCCAAACACCCCCAAAATGTGGACTTCATTTGATGGATATGTACAAAATCATATGTCAAAATCAAACTTCCATCCATTCTTTTTAGCACAAACCTCTCGATTATAACATATCAACGAAATCTCCTTCACCTATCGTCTCCTTCAAACTTCGCTTCCTTTTTAAGGTGCTATTTGTTTTTTTTAAGCGAAAAGTCATGAAGTGTGCGGACCACCTTTGCAACCCTCTGCAACAGAAAATGTGGACTAAATGATTGCAGACTGTAATAAGAAACATGTTTGTTTTTTAAAATCTGCAGTAAAATAAAATTTAAATAAACTAATTTTATAAACTGAAAATAGTTCTCGACACCGAAATTTTAATAATTCTAGTATTAAAACATTGAAAGAATACTAAAAAGAACATATAAAAAAACAAAAATATAATAAATAAAATCTAAAAAAATGTAATAGAAGCTATCGATTTTATTCTAGTAAAAAACTAATTTTAAAAAACATAAAAATAAATAATAAAAAAATTAAGAAAATATTCCAAACAATGTCAACAAAGTTCGTAAAATAATTACACATGTTAAAAAAATGGAACCGAAATTGAAAATATTATTAACAAAAACGGTAAAAAAAAAATTAAAAAATCAAAGTTTTTTTTTTTGAAAATCAAGTTATAAAAGATTGTGGAAACTATAAAAAGAATTTTTTTTTTTTTTTTTTTTTTTTTTTTTTTGAAATCTAATTTAAAAAAAAATTAAACCAAATTTCTAAAAAAAATCACTTGGAGAAAATGAAAAGCTGAAGATGTTTGAAGAGACAATTTAAGTGTTGCGCCGCGTAGAATATGCACAGAAGTTTTGTAGTCTGAAGTCTTCTAAAAAAATAAACTTTTGCGGGATGACAAATGTTGCGTGTATGCTGCGTCGCACATCAAAAAGTGGTCAGAAGAGTTTTTTAAGAAAAAAACAAACAACACCTAACACTCTTTATCCATTTCTCTTCACATCCAACCCATCTTACATTTTCTTCCCACCTTATTTTCTTTCAAATATATCTCTATTTAACCCTATACCATCATCTCTTTCATTATCACCCTTACGAGACATCAACCAAACAACTTCATCAACCATGTTTCTCTCATCCCATACAACTGTAACGCCCGGGTTTCGGGCTAAGCATTTTAGATAATGTAGTAGTCTAGGTCAACTATTGAATTTTTTTTTTGAAATAATATTTGAGTATTGTGTGAATTATGTGAATTTATGTGTTTTATACTTAATTATAAATGTATAATTAATAAAAAATAAAAATAAGTGTCAAAATTAAAGTGTGAGATAAGCCCGATATCTTTACATAAAGCTATAGTGGTCGTAACAAGGATTCTGGGGATATAAAGTACTCCGAAATCCGAGTTATAACGAAGAAGTTATGACCCGTCGAAGTTTTGCGACAGAACCGGCACAACACCAGGAAGCGTAAAAAGTGAATTTATGATAGAAAACTTTTTAGCCTTAGTAATCTAAACCAAAGTTGTAGAGTATGTTAAACCGAGAAAATCCATAAAAAGAACGCCCAAATCTGACTTCGTATGAGGAAGTTATGATTTTTCAAAGTTTTGGCTTAGCAGTGTACAACCCGAAACTTGAATTTTAGTTCAAGCGGTTTTTGGCTTACGCGACCTAAATGAGAGTTGAAGATCTCATTAATAGGAACTCAACGGTAAAAAGACAGATGGAAACGGAGTCCGTATGAAGGAGTTACGAATTCTTCGCGGTCATTTAGCAGTCTAATCTCCTCGTACTGTTAAATTTAAGATCGGTAGAGAATTAGCCGACAGAGTCTAAATGAAAGTTGTAGATCTTGTTTTTACCTATGCGTGGAAAAAAATAACATCGAAAACGGAGCTCGTATGCGTACGTTACGGGGTTTAAAAGCCAGTAGGGTGCTGCTGCAAAAGGGGTGACATGGCACAATGTAGGCCACACACGTTTCGCCACCAGAATGCTGACACCTGGCCTGGAACTCGACGATTTGGAGGCCAACTCGACGAGTTTATGCGATTTCCAGCCTATAAATAGAGGTGTCGGGTTCCCTCATTCTTCACACCTTCCCAACTTCACTTTCTCTCTCTAAAGCCCTAAACCCCCCTAAAGTCTAGGTAAACCCCCTAGCACCCGAAGGAAGCCCCGAGGCTCTCGAAGCCTTGTGAAAAGAGACTTTCGGCTTGGAAACACTGCTCCAACGAAGCACGGTTTTGCGAAAAACCCGTTGTAAGTGAGCTACGTCTAACCTATCTTTAGTTTAGATTATGTTTTAATATAGTAATGTTATTAGGACCTTATAATAAGTACTTGGGCTATTATTATGGGTTATATAAGTATCGTTTAATGCTTATATAATAGTAATAATAGCCAGACTATTAATTAGTCTCGGTGAATATTAGACTAAACTCTAGTGGTAATGATACTAGGTTTTGCCGAAGGAAAATTGTGTTAAGAGTAACGAAGTGTTGTCCAAGCGTCGGGTCACCACCTTCTTAGGTGAGTGCATAGTTACTTTCATCTTACACATAGATATGAAGTATATGTATAAATTACATGCTAATTGTGCATATTATCTGAGTACTTGTTGTCTATGCTGGATGAATGATTTTATACATGTTTTAAATGATTTAAACTGTATATGTATTTTATATCTACAAAAATGCTGGGGTAAAACACTGGTAGATGTACTAAGATGATATGTAATAAAATAATGAGAGGCCTCGATGTTGTTGTTGTTGATTCCATCATCTAGCGGAGTATGGATGACGACCACAGACTCTTCTAGACAGTCTAGTGGAACGTTAGCAGGCTTGCAACCTGTAGGTGTTTGTGAACGATGTATTCACCGGTGTACTCCATCCTCCATATGGTTGCCTTAAGGAAATTTATTGCTAAGGAATCCCCTTAGCATTAGTGTCCATCCCGATGATTGATCCTTATTCTAGGTCCATTATGATAGGTGTTTTAGGGACGTAATGTGAGGATAACGGGAACGGGATCGGGTTATTTGTTGGTTGATGAAATTAATAAACTTATTTATTGTGGGTTGAAAACCCTATGTGCTCACCAGGCTCCAAAGTCTGACCCACTCAGTTTCATGTATTACAGGTAGTGGCGCTCGAGCATAGATGTGATGTTTTGGATGAGGGATTACGGATATAGGCATGTAGATATGAAATAATATAGTAAGGCTTATATTGTATTGTTTATATTTTTGATCTGTATCAAATATGACATCCCGAGTCTTTTAATGAAATACATTTCTACGGAAATGCTTTGATAAATCTTTATCATATTTTGTCTTGGGGACAAATTCCGCAACTCTTTTATTTAAAATATTACTCTGATTTTTAAACAAAGTATAAACAAAACCGATCTTTTCTGGCCGTGATTTTGGAGATGTCACAGTTACCCCCTTAATTTCACCAACAAAAAATTCTTCACCATGAAATGAAGCTTTTAGATGAACAACATTTCCTTTGTTGTCATGTTCATTTTCTTTTTCAAAAACTCATTCCCATCTCCCATCTTGGTTCCAATGTCTTTTCATAAAAGATTGACATTTTCACCTGGTCATTAGATCTTCCTTCCGTTACAAGAATCCTTACCTGCGTCGGCGACATCTATATCGACAACATCCGGCGTCGGTAAAATGTTAACGATACCGACGATTTGTTATCGATACATAGTTGACCAGAGTTAGACCAAATTTCTTTGACCTGGAACTATATGCAGACAACATGTTGTCCGAATAGGATGCACGGGAACAAAAACATTTTTTGCGGTTTTTTGAAAACTATGTCGACAAGTTGTCGGTATAGGTAATGAAAATTATAATTTCCAATTTTCTTATAATTGATGTTACAGAAAATAAAAACGACGTCGTTTGTTGTAATCTGGTCCGAAGGGTACAAAAAATGGCGATCCGTGTGAAATCTAAACCTACGACTTATCGTTTGTACATTTTGTTTTTCCTTTAATTTTTTTCTA